GTTCTTAAATTTTGAATTGAATGCGGCGATCCGATTCGTCCCCCAAAATCACCCCATAACGTCGGAAACGCTTCGAAAAGCCACATTGGAATTTCAATGGTCCCAGTCGCAGTGAGGCGTCTGTTCTAGGGCAACCGTCATTCTATATCTGGAAAGGCTTAAGTTTTCGCCTCGTAAACAACTTTTACGAGGCGAAAGCTTTGTGAGTGTCACGGAAGGTCTCGAGGAAAGACGTTGAAGCGACTGATTGTCGCCACTCTCTTCAAATTTAATACATTAATCAATGCCAAAATTCATAAAATCATTCATATTTGGATGACGGAAGGCGTTCCAAATATAATCTCATCACGCCTCCTTCGTTTGTATAAACCACCTTAATACGCCAAAGCCTGGTTTACCCTTTTCATCTCAAGTTTCAGCCCGTTCGGGACTCGAACTACGAACCTGGACTGGCACAGGAAAATCAGTAGTTTGCAGCTGATTACGATCCCGACGAACACATTCATTTCAATTACTTTCCTTATGAAAATTATGTAGTAAACTAGGAATTGATATAGGAGCTACAAAAAAAATAAAATAAAGAGAAATATTGTTTGCAGCAAAGAAGGAAAAATTATTTCTTCTCGTTATTTTCTGCTCAAGAAGTTTTATTGAAATTAATTATTTTACAGACGTTTAATTTTATTCAAAATATTACCATTCATCAACACACAACAGTTTCTCTTTGCGTCTTGTATTAAATGAATCCACTTGTGGCGACATGTTTCGAGTTACGAAGCCGTCTTCATGTTATTAGGGGAAGATTCATGACCATCGTTTATAAAAACGTCGTTATGAAGGCAACACACTGAGAATTTTGTATTGATTTCTGATCTGCGTGTGATATTTTAAAGAAATTGCAAATTTACAATTTGGCTGAGTTGCTCCAACGTACCGGGTAATTATGCCATGTGCTGAGTTGGCCGTGAGACATGTAGACACATTTTGTTTTTACAAGAGGAAATAAAGTGTTGCAAATTCTCTCTCTCTGTCATCAGTCTTCCGACTGCTTTGGTGCGGTCCTCCATCTTCGTCTCTCTTGCGCCAGTCTCTTCATTCCCACATTTTTTTTACAGCCCACATCCTCAAAAATTCCAATCATTGTCTCCCCCTACAATTCTTCCTTTCAGCTGTTCCTTCCATTACCAAATTAACCAATCCTGGGTGCCTCAAATTTAATTCGTCAGAATAATATGGAATGCCGCAAAGTTCCATTGGCTAGACTGCCATCTTCAGTTGCTTTTTCCAACTTACCTTGCCTTCGTTTCTCTTCGTCTTCAATTTTCTGTTGCTCATTCAGTAACTTTTACCAATTTAACTGAATACACATTACATTTATAGGACTGAGAGAAATACAACACGTAGTCCACCATCAGGCAACTCTACACAACCATTTTATACAAAACATGCATCTGAAACTTTGTGTGAACATAAAACATTATCTGGTACGCAAATCATATTTAGTTGGTTGGCTAAAATTAAAATTAAAATTAACAATAAATACACGATAATGAGTTAATAAAGCTTGAGTAAGGTAATTCATTGTGTCTTCTGTTGCTATGGTGTAGCGTCATTGTTCATTCTTTCTACAATTGTTACGAAGTAAGTATTAAAATGATCTGCTAAGAGTTTAGAATTTTTATTGCATTATCATTTCTCTTTATTCTTCTGTTCAGTTTCCTTCCTTAGTATTTTCCAGACTGCTTTAATTTTATTATTTGACTTAGTATCTGTTTATGTAAGACTTGAGGTTCTCCCAGCGACGAGTATGAAGATTTCTGTCTTCTGGGTCTGGTCGATGTTAAAAAACGTTTCAGAGGTCATACTGCCTCCGTCATCAGAGTATGAAGATGTCTGTCTTCTGGGTTGTTGCGCTGTGTAGTCTGGTCGATGTTCACCAACGTTTCAGAGGTCATACTGCCTCCGTCATCAGAGTATGAAGATTTCCGTCTTCTGGGTTGTTGCGCTGTGTAGTCTGGTCGATGTTAACCAACGTTTCAGAGGTCATACTGCCTCCGTCATCAGAGTATGAAGATTTCCGTCTTCTGGGTTGTTGCGCTGTGTAGTCTGGTCGATGTTAGTATCTGTTTGTTGTAATGCATCTGTTTAGCCTCTTTAATGCCTTGATTTTCTCGCAATAAAACCCGCAGTGAATTGTCATTATTTGGTCGTCACTAGACTGCCAATGTAGGTAAGATCTAATTTATGTTTCCGAGATGTTTTGATGCCTTTATTCATTATTTTCAGATATAATTTTCACTGTTTTAGTCAAGAAACTTGTTTCAAAAATTGTTAAGAAGATATTTTGAAATGCGTCAAATTTTGACCCTACATCATGGCTGTTTAATACCGAGTCCCCCTTCTCATTACTTAGACGTGTTATAAATTCTTTAATAGCGTATTTGATCTTAGGCATGTTGGCTGTGAGGATCGTAAATGGCTGGAGTTTGCTCAGGATTGTGGCCGGTGGCAGGCTTTGGTGCTGTCGGTGTTGGACCTGCGAGTTCTGCTACCAGGAAGTCAGTCAGTTAGTTAGTTAGTTAGTTAGTTAGTGTCTTCACTGACAAGTCTGATTCATTTCCTGTAATTGTAATTGGAGACTGATTCTATATTTTTATAACCAGAAATTGTGAATTATGATCAGATATCCCATTTATCACTGGTCCAATACAAATATGATATTTTCTGGAAATGTCTGTAAAAAAACTGTCTATAACAGAAATGAAGTAATTTTGAATTCTTGTGGAGAAATTAACTACTGAGATGAGATTGAAAGATGATTGTGGTAACTTTCGGTAAGATTATTAATATTAATGTTGCCACAAATGACAAATTCTGCTGTAGGTTTATAAAGATAAAAAAAGTTGGGCAGTTTAGATTCCAATTGCACAACACAGTCTTTGCAGCGATGCAGAACATTTAACTGACTACATTTTAGATTATTTCTGACAAAAATACTCACTCCTCCTCTTGCTATATTCCGTCTACAGTAACTAACACCTAAAATATAATTTTCTAGATTGACCTGGTAGTTTCATATGGTGTTCAGTTAAACATAGAATATGTGATGAGTACGTATTATTAATGGGCATGGATAGTTCAACAGGTTTACTCTACTCCACTCAAGATCACATCTTCAACAAGTACATGGAAACAAAATTAAATATTAACACTCAAACATTCTTGATATCAAATTGACACTCGCCATACTGCTACGAGTACACTATATACACTTAACATACACTAAGTGGGGGGATTACAAATAAAAATGGCACTGGTGACATCAAACTTCTGTCATGCTCTTTCTTTTATCTGCACGGTTATTGTTCTATTCAGCGGTCATTCTTTCAGGCAATTGTCTTATGTTAGCACCACTAAGCTCTGGAGCATGTGAAATCAGTAAGTGGAGCTAAATGCACAGAGAAGGGAGTGTCAGATGGAGGAAAGTTCTCAACACCAAAACTGAAATGCGCACAATGAGACTGGGTGGATACAAGAGCTGAACTGAATGGACCCTGCTGGGGATCAAACCCACCGTTCAGTCGATAGTCAGACAGAACTTTCAATAGTCTACCTCAGCTCACCAAGTCAGCATGTTCTCTGAATCCTATTATAAAGCAAAATGGAAAATACTGAAAATGCTTGTGTACTGTTACTACAGTCTCTAAAATTGAATGCAAATGTTGACAGATCCTGTTTAAAGGAGTTTCAAAATCACCATAAATCAGACATAATTAAACAAAAAATTAACTTAACCTAACTTACAACTGCAATGCAGAAAAAATGTACCCACACATCATGTAAATGTCAGACTGTAGGGCTAGGGAAGAAGAAGAAGAAGTCACACATTAAAAGGAAAACAAAACTAATGTAAATAATACAAATATTACATTCATCTTTGTTCCAAACTGTTGGCAAGCTTCTCTGCAAAATCCACTGCAGTTTTTATATTCTGTGAACGAAGCTTGTTATTCATATCGTCCTTTTCCTTCTGATATTCATATGATTTCTGAATCACGGTCACCACAATGAGATATAACACGTAATGAATGTAACTCAATCCTGATCACCAGAACGCCTACATTATTTTCCTGTGTCAAGCAACTTTTTGGCTGAATTACAAAGCCTACAAAATGAAGAGTTAACATCATTTCACATACTAATCCTTCTATTTCTAACGTTAAAACCCATAATGTATATAACATCAAATTACTTACATCATTGCTTTATTTCCTTTAATAAATTCATCAAAGTTGTACAAAACTTCCAAATCTGAAATTGATTTGCCAGTGTATAAAGGTTTCAGTTTTGTTTTTGGCATGTTGAATATGAGTTCAATCTTTTATAATTCACGAACTATTTATTCTCTTGAGTTTCTCTTTTGTCAGTTTGTCAACACAATTGGCGCCAAACTTGTTACGGTAACATGTATGAGAATTGTCTCTAATGACAAGCAACAAAGCGCCTATAAAAACATTAAATTTCTAGTATTATATAACGAAGTCACTCGTACACACCACTTAATTGTCCATTTAACACGGAACTAGCCTTTCTTCCTTGACAGCTCACATCCGACATCTTGAATAACTCTCTCTTCCACTTAGTTACCAACATCCTTACACGATATATTACTATCTGCAATTCCATGTCTGCCAACTATCAGTTATTAGTGTCACGGTTGGTGGCTACATTAGCTCAGTTGATTAAAATACCAGCTATTTCTTAAATATCCACAATAGAAACTGAAATTCATGAGAACTGCAGTTTGTATACTACTTAGGCCACAAACGAAATTACATCTTAATTTCTAATGCACTTATCAAATTTAAACAGAATCAACGAACTATGGAAACCACATGCAAAAAGAAAGGACGAAATGGAAAATAATTGGAGATGGTTATTATTATTATTAAGTGTTCTGTCTTACGACAGGTCCATTGCTCTGCCCAAAAAGAGCTCTCCAGTTGTCCCTATTCTCGGCTTCTCGCTTTAATTCCTGGAACGTCATCTTCTTTCCTTGTTTAAGGTCGTCGGTTAGCTGTATCAATCTTCTTCCCAGTCCTC